CGCTTTAGAATCGTTTATCATTTTAGTACATTTGCCGATGGTGGATTGGACAGGTAAGAGTCTTTGGATGAGGGAGAAGGTAGCTTGGGATGTGGCGGAAGGGAGCTGTAAAGCGGGTCGCTAGTAAAGGACCAGCAGGTGGGCGAGGTGCGCGAGAGACGGTGTGAATAAAACTGACGAGCTAGTATGGGAGGAGGGAGGGTGCTTGTATGTAGTGGTGTGCTGTGAATTGCGAGGAATATCCGTGTTTTTCGAAGGGGCGTAAATGAATTTTATTTTGTTTTGGAGAGTGGAAAGTGTTTTGTTGCCAGTGAGGGAGAATTGTAATCTTATAGTTGAATTTTATCAATTGGAAAATTGTTCATGTTTGTAGTGTAGATATTATTTTGATGTAATTTTATAAGAAATTATGTATATGTTTGTAATAGTTTCATGCATGCATTAGGTTATGGAATATGTTCTTGTGAATTTAGTGAAGTACTTTTATATTGTGAGATTGCGAAGGATAGAGTGGTTATCGACAATTATGATTATTCCATTTGAGTTATGACGGTTGGTATTATTTCGTATAACTGTTGTCGGTATATGTGGAAGAGCAGTGATGCTCTGAGTTGTGGCTGACAAAGAATTGATCCTGATAAATAACTTTGCATAAACATAAATCCGCATTAAATTATTCATATATGATGTGTTTACATGGAAGGAAGGATATGGCTAATGTTAGGGAGTAAATAAGTGAGAGAATAGTGAAAGCGGTGTGATTTTGCCTGTTTTTTTTAAAATAATTTTTCGGTTGTGATAAAGAGCTTGTGGCTGGTAGTTTAGCATAATAACTATAACTTAAACAAATTACGTTAATAATTGTGTTGAATATAGTAGATTTGATAAAATATTAGGATAATGTGGTATTTGATAAGAATGAGTAATTATTCATAATTTGTCTCATTCGTCGTTATATGAATTCTAGTACTTTGTTGTGTGAGAGCTTTGATTGTCGTGACCTAGAATTTTCTCACAATGAACTTAGCGCGGTGTCTGTGGGTAGTGGAAATATTGAATATATGTATTTTATGTGATTCGTTTGAGAAGGTGATGTGATTTTAAGTTATTTGTGTACCAGTCACGATCTAGAGTTATTTCATCGCTTGACGATGATCGCTGGGGAGATAGGTATTACCCCTTACTTATACCCATAGAACGTAGAAAAAATATAAGATAAGGTTTTATTGATGTTTAATAAGCAGACGATTGTGGGGTGTGTGGAAACAAATAGGATACCTTTGGTATAAATAAAACAGAAATTGCATTAGAGGATATATTGGTTTTATGTTCACGTCTGAAACAGAATTCACGCGCTTAATGAATTGCATGAGACAAGAAGAAAGGTGAATATAATACGGATGTCAATAGTGGGTTTTGCAAGAGAGAGTGTTGCAGCTTAGGTGAAGTGAAGCGATTAGGTAAGATAGGAGTAGGTTCTTTGGGTTGATAGCGAGCGATGGGGGTTAGTGGTGGGTATGTTGGTATATTAGTACTATGGAGATAATTATATTATTAGTTCAGAGAATTATATGTCGCGGGTTGATATCTGTCCAACTGCAAAATTGATGTGTCTTATTTCTATTTACGGTTTTGATGGTCGGGTTAAAAAATTGACTGATTTTGATGTGGGTGATTGTCCGAGATGGTAGTTGTGTTTATTAATTTGGCGGGTGTCATTGTTTTGCGTAATTTATCTAATGTGATAGAAGGAAGGAACAGTTGTTGAAAATGTGGGCTTTATTAAGTATCGGTCATTATGAGAGGGAGGTTTATGTTAGGAGGGCGCGGAAGCAGAGGTGGCTGGTCCCCAACATTAATTAGACTTAAAAACGGCAGTGGGGAGACTTCGGAGAGTCTGATCTAGGATACTTAAAGGACCGTGTCGATGGAAAATTGCCTGTACTCTTCTTAAGAGGCGGGTCATTTCGGTTTTGGCTGCGTGGGCTCATTACGGTCGGATTATCAAAATGTTTGTGTTCGCTTATGCTTACGTGAATTTTGCATTTACGTATTACCCTGAAGATTATAATTACTAATGTTTAACCTATTTACTTTCTTGATCATTGTGAGGCTATAAGATTTAGTGGGTGTGTTGTAGGACAACGTTCTGCTTTATTAATGTACATCAATTTGATTCGGATATGTGCAAAGTCGGAGCGTATAGTGATAAGATGAGCGTTTTATCTCTGCATTTCGCTGTTTTCCATGGAACGATGATGGATTGTGATGGAGTTTTGTTGTGGTTCGATTTGGAGATTTGTTGTTTTAGATTTTGGTCCAAATGTCTTATTTTCATTATTTGTTTGCAGGATGTAGTTCTTTTAGATTTTCGGTTGTGACTTGTGAGATTGAGGTGAAATGAACTAGAGCGTGTGATTCGTGAGTTGGAGGGGTGGGTAGATGGCGAGGTGTGGGAGACATGAGGCGTTTTGTGGCAGGGTGAGATAATGGTGGCCAAGGTGGTATCTGAGGGAGGAGATGAGGGGTTGGTCTGTGACATGGATGAGAAGGGGAGGTCTGGAGGTGGGTGCCTGTGAGTGGAAAGCGTCTTTTCTTCTTGGCCGAGTATTTCTGGAAATGAGATGCGTAACAACTGTGCGGACCGGGTAAGGACAGGCAACCAAGGAGGATCAGATACACTCTTGTGAAACGTGACACAGTTCAAGTTGCTTTTTATTTCTTCTACAATGGTTCTGGAAATTTACATCGCGAGATTTTCGCAAAAGAAGATTGGCTGGTTGCGTTTTTTGGGGGGCTGCGGCGGCGGGCGGCGGGGTGTGCTTGTTCCAGGGGGCTTTTTGGGGCCGGTTTTGCGGGGCGTGTGGGGGTGGGCGGTTCTGGCGGGGGCGGCCCGTGCGGGCTTTCGGGCGCGGTGCCGCCTGTGCGCGAGAGGCGGGAGGGCCCGGGTTTGATTGGGTGCGGCTATCGGGAGGTTTGCTTGGTGTTGGGTGTCGGGTGCGCCGGTGCCGGTGTGTTGGAG